GCAAGGCATCTGGAGAGGTTTCCAGAGGTCCCGGGCTCCAGTCCCAGGCTGGGCCAAGGACCACACGTTCCTGAAAGAGATTTTTTCCCAGTTCCAAGTATTTGCGTGCTCTAGGGAGAGTCTGTCCTGCCTCCCCCTGGTCCACATGGGGAAACCGGGGCTTCAGCAAGGGGCACAGACAGTGGGGCTGGGGCATGGCCCAGCGGTCCTGGTCGGTAGAAAGATGGGTTTCAGTGCCCTAGGGCTGGCCCCGCCTGGGGTGAGGGATGCGGCAGGTTTGTCCTGAGGTCTTGTCCCACCCCAGAGGAAACATGGGGGGGGTCCCTGGATCTCTCAGGGAAGTGGAATATGGAATGTGAATCAGGGTCCCCGTGTTGAACCTTCACTCTCCCAGACTCTGAAGGGGGTCCCCAAGGCTGGGGTTTCCCTCTTGCAGAGGCCCCTGACAGGATAGTCTCAGGACCCTAATCACTCGACTGTCTTGGGCCACCCCAAGGCCTCAGTTACTCTCCGACTCAGTGTCCACCACCCGCTGCCCCAGCCTGCACTTCTCGGCGCCCCATGGTCAGTCCTTTGCATCCGAGGAAGATAAATCCTCACCATGGGATTCAGATGTGGGGACCTGGAGGGGGTCAGGCTGTTCAGCCGGGGTCACACAGGTCTATGACAAGAAGCCACTTCCTGTCCAGCTCCAGGAGCAGGAGAGGGGATGAAGTAGACATCAGGGCCTTCCTGGGTAGCCCCAGCGAGACCACCTGCCCAGCCTTTGGGTGGCCAGCCCTGTCCCCTATCTGCTCCCAGGAGAATAGTTGGATGCTCTGGGAGTGGACCCCAGTCAGCAAGGACCCTCGTCTGCCGACTAGACAGACCTTAAGAAGCTCATCCTGAAATTGGCCAAACCCATGTTCTATCTCTAGCATATGGTCCCCTGAGTCCACCAAGACTGACCCCTGAGCACAGAGCCAGGAATTAAGTCCTAAGCACTGCTGGGGTGGCCCAGAAACAAAATAAAAGTAACGCTCACCCTGAACAAGCAGAAAATCAAATGAGAGTTCCAAGATCATCTACATCAGGTCTTTAAAAATATACCCCACTTCTCCCCCACGGAGCACTTTAGACAGAGGCAAGGCTCTGCCCAAGGTCATGGGCAAGGAGAAAGATGGACAAGCCCCCTTCCAAGTAAGAGCCCCGTCATAGGCCAGCAGTAATGGTTAGTTTGCTCTGCAGTCAAAATCTTGGCTATTTCTGTGATGTAGATAATTAAAATAAAGGAGCATCTGGGGGGGAAATCTCAGTGGAAATCACTTCCCAGAGATCCCAGTGCTGTGTCCCGGGGCTGGGTCCACACGTTCTAGAAAGCACAACCAGTCTCTCGTCCAAACATGCTGCTGAGCACGAGGTAGTCCCCCTGCCTCGGAGCGCCCAGGATCTCCCCTTTAACTGAGCACTGAGCAAAGGTGGTAACTGGCCTTTGCCCAACAGTGGCCAGTCTGCCTAGATAACCTGGTTGTAGCCATAAGCCAGAAGGAGGCAGACTCCCCCATCCTGCACCCCGACACTCAAGCCTCCCCGCTCCCACTTTGCGGCATTGCCCACCTGGTCCTGCCCCCAAGTCCGTGAACCTGGGTCCTGCTGGAGGCCCCTGTATTCCTCCTCCCCACCCCCAGCAACCTTCCAGCTGAGCCAGAGGGTCACCCAGACCCTGCTCCCAGCAGCTCCTCCTGGGACACGAAGGCATGAGGCCGTGGGGCATAGGGGGTGAGGGGATATTTAGGGGAGTCCCAGAACCCCTGTGATAGAGACTCAGAACACAATTAAAATAACAGCTGAGCAATTCTAAGTTCTACAAAAGACATTGTTCGAGTGATGATGTTCTCCCTGTTGTTTGGCCCAGTAATGTCTCTATTGTGACCATTGTTACTGTGTTTGGCATATCGAATACGTCTAGGTAGCTTGCCAGGCTCTCCGAGAGGGGTGGAGGAATTGCACTGGGGTCGGCCATGTTGGCTGCGTGCAAGGCAAACGCCCTACCCACTGTGCTATCGCTCCAGCCCGAGTGATGATGACAGGAAGAAAACTTTCTGGAAGCTGGAGGCTATGCAGAGCTTAGCTGTGCTGGAAGTTATATGACACAGATGTTTGTGAACACTTGTGAGACCAGCTGAGGCTGTGCTTGGTTGCAGAACACCCACCCAGCATGTGTGAGGCTCTGGGTTCCACCTCTGGCACCCCAAAACCAGAAACCAAAATCTATATGGGAACTCTGTGCATTGGACATAGGTCAAAATTCATTCCATGGGGTCCAGAGAGATAGCAGAGTGGGTAGGGCACTTGCCTTGCACGTGCCTGATCTGGGTTCTGTCCCTGGCACCTCAGAGGGTCCCCTAAGTCCCACCAGGCATGACAACCCCCTTTAAAATTTTTTTAAAAGCTATCAAAAGTTTAATCCTAAAAAGGCACACATTCTGCATGTACAAAACTACACAAAATATATATTTGACTCATCAGGGGTGATCCCCAAGCACAGAGCCACGAGTCAGTCTTGAGCACCACCAGGTGTGGCCCCAAACCAGCACCACGCCCTCCCTGCAGAAAACTAATTTTCCGAAAAGGAGAAGCGTCCAGGGAAGAAGGGCTGGACCCAGGACTCAGCCCTGCCCTGTGCTGCCTTTGCTCTGTGGGACTGTGGGACTGTGAGCTAGTTCCCAGCCGCCGCTACGCTGGCACTGTGCTGCCTGGGTCTCTCGGGGACATGGGAGCACGTGCCGGAGGGTGATTGCAACAGTGAAGGACAGAGCGGCTGGTTGTCACCGAAGCCCGTCTGACAGGGCACGGACAGTCCGAAGCAGAGCACAGGCATGTCTGGAGAGAAACGGATGCTGTCCTCAGGCAAACTGCTCAATATAGCCCGAGTGATAGAGGAAGTCCCTGTCCATCAGGGAGGGGTCCCTGGAGGAGGAGGCAGCTGCCGGAATCTCAGTTGGTGGAGAATAAGGGGACGATCCCCAGGACTGGTTGGGCTCAGGTTATGCAGTAGTGCAGCCCTGCAGGAGAACCCTTCCCCTCCCCCCCTGCGTATAGGCACAATCTGGAAGGATTCCTGATGTCAGAGCAGCTCCTCTTGGATCTGTTTTCTTGTGTTTTTTTGCGGGGGACTAATTTTGCACCACGCCCGGCGATGCTTGGGGGTTACTCCTGGCTCTGCACTCAAGAATCACTCCTGGTGGTGCTCAGGGGACCATGTGGGATGCCGGGGATAGAGCCTGGATCAGTCGTGTGCAAGGCAAGCGCCCTCCTGACTGTCCCATTGCTCTGACCCCGAAGTCACTCTGGGGGTGCTCCCATGCACTGAGCTCACTCCGGGGCCACGGGCAATGGCATGAGGCTCAGGCTTGCTGGTCATGACCAGGACTCAGTGTGTTGAGCAGGCTGAGGTATTAGTGTGTCACTAGGTCAGGGCTCAGAGGTGACCCTGGTCTCAGCTCGGCGTGTCACCAGGGTCAGGGCTCAGCCAGAGGCCAGGAGTGGAGAGGACCCCGGTGGCCTGTGACTCAGCGGCCCCTCCGGCTTCCCAGAGCCGACGCATGAGGTGGCCCGGCGAGGGGTCGGCCAGAGCGCAGCGTGGAGCCATCTGGGCCGTGTTTATGAAGCCGGGATGGGCGGGGGGTGGGGGCCCAGCGGGCTGCTACCCAAGGCTGGGTCCCCTGAGGTTTCTGGCCCGGCCCACCCACCCCCACTTGCTGCTGAGGGAAAGGCAGGAGGGCAGGGGCAGGGCGGGGGTGGGTGGGGACAGCCAGCTTGTCTCCCTCTGTTCCCTCCCGAGGCTTCTGGGGTGCTGAGGGTGGGAAGCGGCCCGGCTCAGGGGGGGCCCCTCGCTCCGAGGGCCTGCAGGCCCCGTGGGGAATGACTGCAGGCATTCCTGAGCGCTTGGATCAGGCGGCGGCTTCCAGGGGCCTCCTCGTCCACTTCCTCTTCATTCCCACTGGGTGAGGTCACGCTGGCCGCCTGGCCTGCGTCCCAGGGGGACAAGCTGGGGTCTCTGCGGGGGCTGGGGGCCGTGAAGACAGGCACGCCCCTAGGCCAAAGTGTAGAGGCCAGAGTGGCCCACTCGCCCACCCCCAGCCCCGCAAGAGGGGCTGGAACCCGGCCGTGCCTGCTGCCCACGCGGCTTCAGCCCTCGCAGCTCGAACCCTCCTGAACTAAATTCACAGGGCCTGACCTGTCCACCCGGAACCCTCACTTCTGAGATGGGTGGACCCAGGCTTGTGCACCCTCTAAACCAGGCCTGTGTCCTGTCCACCTCCCCTCAACCCACCACCCCCTTCCAGGCCCACTGCCCCCTGTCTGGGCTGCAAGTCTATCCTTCCATGCAGCCAGGTACAGTGCTGTAGTTGCCCGCGCTGGGCTCGGGCGCGTGGAGGGCAGGGTGGACAGCCGGCCCCTGCCTGCAGCCTGTCCCAGGGAGCAGGTGACCTGGGAGAGAGCAGACCCTATCTCCCCTGCATTCTGGGCCCAACCCCCAGGCCCCAAGGGGATAGCATAATGGGCCGACGTGAGGTCAAGGCTGAGGCCGTGGCTGGAAGGACCGGGTGTTGGGAGGGTCACTCCAGGTGCCCAGATGGGGAACTCGAGGTCAGCAGCGTGCTCTCAGACCCACTCCTCCTACCCCCAGCCCCTTCCTGGTGCCCTCACGCCCTCCTTTGGCCCCGCCCTGAGCTGGGGGAGCAGCAGAGTTCTGGGGGCAGGTGCCCAGCAGCCTGGGGGTATGGACATGAGGCAAGGCGGAGTGTGGGTCTGTCGGGAACCTGTTTGGTTCCCCTCAGGGCTGCCCCCCTCCTGGCCCTGCACCAGCCCCTCTGTCCCCCAGAACAGCCTCCCTCTCCCCAGGCTGCTCCATCCCAGCCCCTCCCGGGGTGGCCCTGCTCGCTGTCCTCCCTGAGGAGCCGAGAGCAGGCCTCCCTCATCATCATCCTCTCTCCCTCTCTCCCACCCCACTGCAGGGCTCCCTGACTTGGTGCCGGACCCCAACTACGTGCAGGCGTCCACGTATGTGCAGCGGGCGCACCTGTACTCACTGCGATGCGCCGCTGAGGAGAAGTGTCTGGCCAGGTGAGGGGGGCAGGGGGGTGGGGAAGGCGGCGGAGGGGAGAAGTGTCTGGCCAGGTGGGAGGGGGCAGGGGGGCTGGGGAGAAGTGCCTGGCCAGTGAGGAGGGGCAGGGTGGTGTGGGGATTGTCCCCGGCCACTATGCAGGCTCGTGCTCCTGCCAGCCGCATGCCTAGCCCCCAGCCCCGTGTCTCAACCTCTCCCCTGAGCCTCGTTTGTCTCCCGGGGTCTAGGCAGTGGGTGGGAAAGCATCACCCCGTTTCTGGGAAGGCCGTTCTCCAGAAGTGCTGGCACCCAGGCCTCGGCTCTGCACGCCTGTTCCAGAGGCCAGAGCCACCCACCCAGAGCAACTGCCCCAGCTCTGAGCAGCCCAGGGCTCCCGGAGTCAGAAGATGCTGGGTTGAACCTTTGGGGCAGTGGCCATGTCCCCAGAGGATAGGGTGGCCTGGGCTGACCCAGGCACTCTGCAGGCTCAACTTCCTGTTGCCCCAGAGAGAGAGAGTCGGCTGGGCAGCACAGCCCCCACATTGCAGAGCATAGACCCCTGACCCCTCCCTGCCCTGACCCCTGATCCCTCCCTCTCTGACCCCTGACTCCTCACCCACACTGATCCGCGAGTTCCTCCCCTGCCCTGACTCCTGATCCTTCACCCACCCTGACCCCCGAGTCCCTCACCACCCTGACCCTGCTCAGATCTGTCTGTGTCAGCAGCATCTCCTGAACACAAGGGACGGAAGATGACATCAGCCTCGTTTTCTTAATAATTTGAATTTTTTTTCCCAAACTTGACGTCTTGCACTCTATTTTCAGCTTTTATTTTAGTGGTGCTCGGCAGTTCCTCCTGGCTCTGCACTCAGGACTCACCCGTGGTGGTGCTCAGGGCACCATACGGGACGTCAGGGATCGAACCCGTGTCTGCTTCCTACCCGCTCACTATTGCTTAGGCCCCAACTCTCTCTCTTTTTCTGTTTTTTTTTTTTTTTTTAGTCACACCTGGTCGTGCTCAGGGATCACTCCTGGTGGTGTGGGGTGACCTTCTGGGGTCCTGGGAATCGAACCCGGGTTGGCTGCAGGCAAGGCGAATGCCTTGGCCCCTGTCCTCTGTCCAGTCCTGACTCACATGTTTTGGTGTCTGGGGCCTGGGGTTCTCAGCAGTTCCCGACTCTCACTCAGAGCCTCTGCCCCTGAGAGGGCCTGTGCCCTAGCTGCCTTCTGTGTGCACAGCAGGGCACTGCGCCAGGTTGGGTCTTGGCCCTTGCCTCCTCCAGCGAGGAAGTCTGGTTTCACAGAGTCAAAGGGCTAGAGCCATAGTCAAGCATGTAGAGCGTTTACCTTGCACACTGCCAACCTGGGTTCCATCTCCAGCATCCCACATGAAACCCTGAGCATTGCCAGGAGTGATCCCTGAGCACCAGCAGGTGTGATCCAAATACGAAAATCAAAATAGTGAAAATAAAGGGAAAGACAAGTATGCACTAACACCAGGGAGGGCTCGCAACTGCGGCACCCTGGCTCACACGCCTGTCTCGTGGCTGCTGGCAGCCCAGGCAGGGGCTGCAGAGGGAGCGCCCGGGACAGGCGCCCCACTCAGCTGTGGCTGGTCCCAGCTCTCCCTAGGGAGGAGGGGGATCCTCCCTTGGGCCTCGAGGAATTCACACACACACACACACACACACACACACACACACACACACACACACAGAGACAATCCTCCGGGGCTGAGTTCTGGGGAGTCTGGCTAGAGCCTAACTGTGTCCTTGTGGAGGCCACTCCCAGACCCCTGCCCCCGGGCCAGCTCTGATCTAGCTGGAGGGTGAGACCGCGGTGGGGAAATGAAGCCCAGCGAGTGGGAGTGGGGGTGAGGGTGACCAAATCAGCAGCTGGAGCCTGAGAGCAGAGGGAGGGGCGGGCAGGACCCAGGATGCAGACCCAGAAGCCTGAACCCCCTAAGCCTCAGGGCCTCCTGCCTCCTTTGGAGTGGCGGGGTGGGACCGTGCCAGGCCCCTCACTGCGGGCAGAGACGGCCTCTAGGACTCGCCGTGGGCTGTAGCCAAGCCGGGCCTACCACCTCCGCCCTGCCCGTTTCCCACGGCGTGCAAAGGGAGGAGGGTGGTTTGTTCCAGCCAGACACAAACAGATTCCAAGCCTCCCCCAGACGAGGCCAAGGGCCGCTGGCCCTGGCAGCCGGGAGCCCAGCCGTCTGTTCTGCAGACGTCCTGTCCCGAGCCGGCCAACCTCCGCCGCTGGTCTCGGGACACGGGCCTTGGTGAGTGAGGCGGTGGGGGGGTGGGGGGGAAGCGTACGGCCAGCCAGGACAGCTGTGTACGGTCAATGCAGAGGGAGCCGCCCGCCCCCCGCCCTGAGTCCAGCTCTGTGTCTGCACGTCGGTCCCTCCCCGCCTTCCCTTGTCCCTTCTCTACATTTGGAAATTGGGGCAAGAAAATTCTGTGCAAGTGATCTGTAGCAGGCCCATGCTCCCTGAAGAGCAGCGGCACCTCTCCCGCCCTGAAGCCACCACCGAGGAGAGTTGGCCTGTACCGGGTGTGGTGTGAGAGGCACAGGGAGGGGTTCCTGCACACAGCTCTGAGGGGGCTCCAAGTGGGGCGATCCGGGCAGACTTCCTGGAGGAGGGAATCTGAGCTGGCCTCAGCGGCTGAATGACTTCTCCGTCGAGTGAATAGTAAAAATTATCAAAAGTTCAAGTGCAGGGGTTAAGGGAGTTTCCTTCCTCGCGGCTGACCCGGGTTCGATCCCCGGAATCGCATATGTTCCTCAGAGCCTGCCAGGAGTGATCCCTGAGCGCCACGGGGTGACTTCAAAACGAAACGAAGCAAAACCAATTCAGTGTGTTTGAGACACGGGGTTTAAGCAGGAGCCCAGGCTGGAGAGGGAGCAGGAAGACAGACAGCCCTGGGAGGTCAGGAGGCTGTGTGTGAGGCCCTACAGACACCACACACACACACACACACACACACACACACACACACCACATGCTGTGCACGCACATACCATACACACTCAGACACACCAGCACATTCACACACTCACAATCAGACACAGACACCACATGGCAAGCATGCACACACAAATACACACACATAGCTACCGAGAGTATCTCGCCCGCACGGCAGAGCCTGGCAAGCTCCCCGTGACGTATTTGATTTGCCGAACACAGTAACAACAAAGTCTCCAATGGAGACGTGACTGGGCCCGCTCGCGCAAATCGATGAACAACGGGAGGACAGTTTGTTTTTGTTGGCTCTCACATTCACACACTCACACTCAAATTCAGACTCACACACATTCTTACACTCATATACATCCTCTCACACAATGCACTTACATACTCGCCCACACACCCTCACAGTCATACAAACACAAACTCTGACACTGACACACACACTCACACACTCACACATTCTCATACTCACACACTCATACTTACACTCACTCTCACACCGACACACACTCACACACACTCTCACACATTCATTCTCACACTGACACTCACACTCACACACATATACTCACACCCACATACACGCTCACAATCACACTAACACAAACTCCGATTCGGACTCGACACATTCACATACACACTCAAACTCTTACACACACTCTCAACACATTCACACACACACTCACACTCTTACCCACACTTCCACTCTCACACTCACACACTCACATTCAGCCTCACACTCATATGCTCTTGCACACTCACACACACATTCCACTGACCCTCACACTCACACTCGCACACTCACACACACATTCCACTGACTCTCACACTCACACACGCTCACACTCACACTCACTCACTCTCAGACTCACTCACATGTCTTTTGTTGACAATCCAGACTTCATGGAGGAGGGAGACTCTCTCCAAGCCTCGGGTTAGGGTATTTTTCCAAAGCTCTGTGAAGAGGGTGACCCCTTTGGTGTTTGTCAGCCTCTCACCCGGCTCTGCGTCCCCTCCCGTCCCCTCAGCACGGCCTATGCCCCCGAGGCCACCGACTACGACGTGCGGGTGCTGCTGCGCTTCCCACAGCGAGTGAAGAACCAGGGGACCGCCGACTTCCTGCCCAGCCGGCCCAAGCACACCTGGGAGTGGCACAGCTGCCACCAGTGAGTCCTCCCCAGAGTCCTCCCTGCAGCCCCTCAGGGCCGCCCCATCCGGACAGGAATGTTCGGGATAGAGGGACCCCGGAGGCTGTGTGTGGAGGGTGGAGGGAGCCCAGAGAGGAGACCCTAGCGTGTCCCCGAAGGTGGGGTCAGCAGGGGGCGCTCTCTAGGACACGGGGACCCAGGAGCCCCAGGCGCCCCCCCCCCAGCTGACCCCAGGAGGGTCCCTGGGCCTGGCTCCAGGAGTTCAGAGTGACCAGCCCCACCCTCTCTCCCACGCCAGACATTACCACAGCATGGACGAGTTCAGCCACTATGACCTGCTGGACGCAGGCACGGGCAGGAAGGTAGCTGAGGGCCACAAGGCCAGCTTCTGCCTGGAGGACAGCACCTGTGACTTTGGCAACCTGAAGCGCTACGCGTGCACCTCTCACACGCAGGTGCGGCCGGGAGGGGGCGTGGGGCGGCCGCGGGGCGCAGGTGCCAGGGCTGCGTGACAGCCAGGCCCGTGGTCAGCGATGGGTGCCTGGCCCTTCCCTCGCCTGTCCCCTCCCACCGACCCTCCTTCGGCCCAGACGTTCCTGGGGGGCCATTCCCCCATCCCCCACCTGTCACTGTCCCTCTCCCAGCTCACTTCATGCCCCTCCTGCCACTTGGCGCTCGCTCTCCCCCATCTCCTCTCCCTCTCTCTCCCTCTCTCACGCCCTTTCCCTCTTTTCCCTCCCCCCCTCTTTTCTCTCCCTCCTTCTCTCTTCTCTCTCTCTCCTCTCATCTCTCCCCTGGGGTCTCAGGAAGGAGAAGCCCCCTCTGACTAGCCTCAGGGCCAAGGTCGGGGCACAGAGGCGGGACTGGGGGCGCCCTGGTGCGTATACAGGGTCCCCTCCTCCATTCCTCCACCCCGTCTCTGCGCTGGCCCACCACAGGGCCTGAGCCCAGGCTGCTATGACACGTACAACGCGGACATCGACTGCCAGTGGATCGACATCACCGACGTGCAGCCGGGCAACTACATCCTCAAGGTGGGTGTGACCTCCCCCGCGACCCGCTGCCACCCTGCTCTGGCTGCGCCCCAGGGTGGGTGGATCCTGGGTGGACCCTGGCTGTGCGAGGCGGGAGCAGGTGGCCATTCAGCTTCCCAGAGTGACGAGAGTGGGGGGGGAGGGGGGGCGGGTACCCGAGAGGTAGCACAGCAGCACGGCGCTTGCTCTACATGCAGCCAACCTGGGTTTGATCCCTGATACCCCATGGGTGCCAGCTGGAAATAGGCCCTGAGCATCGTGGGGTGTCACCCCAAAACAATAACAGACCAACCCACGAAACGCAGAGTGACAGCCTCCCTGGGGGGTGGTCCCTGCCCAGGTGGTAGGCAGGCCAGGCCAGGGACGATCTCAGAAAGAAACTCAGTTTCTCTTCATGACTCTTTGGGTCTGGAGGTCCCAGAATCGCCTCCTCCCCCGCCTGTGCACACGACCCCCCAGTGCCTGTTTTCCCTGGGGGATACGTAGGAAAGTGTGACAGAGACACAAGCCGCCCTAGGGTGTGGGCACAGGACACGGGTCGGCACCCTGCCCTGCTGTGTGCCGGGAGGTGGGATCATTTCCCGGCTCCCCTGGAGCCACCTGGAAGAGCAGTGAGGGAGGCTGGGGGCAGCGTGTGTGCAGAGGGGGACCCTGGGGCTCCAGGCAGGGCCCATCCCGGGCAGCATGGGCGCAGAGTGTCACTGAGCAGCTGTGCGCAGCTGGGCCTGTCCAGGTCCCCTTCCCTTTCCCACTGTTGCCTGCACTGCTGACATGCACGAGGTCCCAGCAGCGCCAGGGCGGGGGTCTCCGCCCCTCAGCAGCAGCAGCTTCTGCCTCAGTGCTCTGCAGGGGACGCAGCCGGGTCCCACACTGGGTCTAGAGTACGGGCTGCTTTGTGGCCAGGGGGCAGGCGTCCATCCGGCCATCTGACGGGCCCTGCCTGGCCCTTCACTCCGTCTGTGTTTTCTGAGGCCCTGGCTCTGCCCCCCGGTGCCAGCTCCCCCCGGCCTGGCCGGGCTCATGACAGGGTGGCTGCCGTTTCTGTGCCCCCAGCGGTCTGCTCCTCCTTCCCTCCCTGAACCCGTGTCTCTCACTTTCCATCTGTCTCCATGGCCTTGCTCCATCGCCCCATCTGTCACCTCTGTGTCTGTCTGCCGGCCGCCCGGCCACCTGGATGGTAACCCACGGCCCGACGAGACCCCATCCCCGCTGTCCCCTCCCTAGGTGCACGTGAACCCCAAGTATGCTGTTCTGGAGTCCGACTTCACCAACAACGTGGTGAGGTGTAACATTCACTACACGGGCCGCTATGTTTCCACCACAAACTGCAAAATCGTCCAGTAAGTTCCCCTTCAGCCCCTGTGTCGGGAGTCCTCGTCCCACCCAGGGACAGGGGCCGGGAGTCTGCACGCTGGTCACCTGCAAGGACGAGCAAGCTGGGCAGGACCATGCCTGTGGGCAGAGAGATCAGGGCTCAGGCTTCCTGCGAGTGACTCGGGAAGGCCCCTTGGGCAGCGGTGTTGGGGGGGTGGGCCCTGTGACCCGCCCCTCTGGGCTGTGAGGGCGGGAGCCTGGCGTAGCAGCTGGGGGACCGGCCCCGCCTTTCCTTATCAAGGGTGCGAATTCCAGGGCCCAGACTAGAAGTGATTCTGTTTGGAACCAGCTGGTCCCCAGGCCCAGTTTTCCAAGTAGTAGATGAGCCCTGAGCTGAGGGCCCTGAGACAGGAGGCTGCTGGCCAGTCCCCACAGCAGGTACCCTCAGCGGTGCCCTGTGCCACCGAAGCTCTGGCCCCCATCCCTGGCCCCCTGACCCCCAGCAGATTGGGTTTCCACCTCCCACTGCTGGCCACTGCGGCTGTTGCTGCCCTAGGCTTACCCCCTTGGTGCCTGATGCCCCAGGCTGCTGGGCCCAACCCCCCCCCCCCCCCCACACACACACACACACAGAGACTCATGGAGAAACCCCAGCCCATTCCTCGGGGTGTGAAATTGTTTGTCCCAGCCAATGCAAGTCTTTCCTCTGGAGGAGTGGGGGAGAGGGAGGAAAGGAGGGAGGGAAAGGAGAGAGGAAGAGGGAGGAGGAGAGAGAGAGGGGGAAAGAGGAAGAGAGAAGGAGAGGGAGAGAGAAAGAGGGAGAGGGAGAGGGAGAGAGGGAGAAAGTGGAGGAGAGAGAGAAGGAGGGAGAGAGAGAGGGAGAGAGGGGCAGAGAGAGGGAGGGAGAAGTAAGAGAGAGGTAGAGCAAGAAAGGAGCTTTGGGATATCAGGGGAGAAGGGGCTCCTTAGCTGGGCACAGAGGCCCAGGGCAGCACGTGGCCACAGGGGACAGGCACAGGAGGATCAGCCCCGAAGCAGTTGTGTGGTGAAGATGGGATGTTCACAGACAGTTCTCTCACCCTAGCATGCTACCCCCAGGCCAGCCGTTCTCCCCCTGCCCGCACCCCAACACACACACACACACACACACACACACACACACACACACGCACGCACACGCACACATGCACATGCACACATGCACGCACGCACACACGCGCACACACCCCTCAGCATGAACATCAAACCCGAGACACTGGCCCTGTCATTCAAGGCAGGGCGCAGTTCCCTCAGTGGTGCCCTGTGCCACCGAAGCTCTGGCCCCCATCCCTGGCCCCCTGACCCCTGGTAGACTGGGTTTCCAGCACCTTCTCACTCCTCAGGGCCTGTCCCCTTGAGACTCCAGGGTCAGCTAAATGGCCCCGTTTTCTGGGAATCAATTCTGGGGGAAAGGAAGGGAGAAGCAAGGCAGGAAGGGACAGAGAAAGAGGGACGTGGGGCGGGGGGCCATGGTAGGGGCTCCCGCTGCTGGACCCTCTGGATACACCCTGGACTGCCCGGGCTGTGGGGGCGGGGAGGTTACATAAGTGCCTGGCCGGCTGGGGCCCACAGGCCTGGCCTAGCTGTCCGCAGGCAGGCGCGCACAGGAAGTGGATGGATGAAGCATTCCCAGAAGGGCCGCAGGACCGAGGCTTGTGGGTTTTGATCATGTTTCTGAAGAGGAAAAGGAAACTTTTTTTTTTTAAGTACTAATTTAAAAAACCAAGGAAGTATTCCCAGACCTCAGCGGCTCTGTAACTGCCCAGACAACGTGTAGCGTTCAGAGTGTGGGCAGGAATTGGGGCGGGGGGGGGGGGGGGCAAATGCCGCCCCTCAAAGGGGCAGCGGGGGAGCCGGGCTGCTGTGCCCCAGCCGGCCCCTCTAGGCCAGGATCTGGGGAAACCGGAGGGGCCGGGTGTCAGGTCACTGAGCGGGGGGCTCTGCTCACTCCCCTCTTCTCTCTCCCTCTGTCTCAGATCCTGATCCCGGAGGAGGACGGCGGCCACTCACCCTCCCCTGTGGCCCTGTGGCCCCAGGCAGCCCCCCACCAGCACCAGCCTCCTCGAGGGGGCCAGCACCCCTCCCAGGCAAGGGCAGCTGGACACTGGGGCCCCTCCCCGCTGGCTCCAGGGAGCCGAGGAACCAGACCACAGGGGCCCAGCCGGACCCCCTTTGTACTTAACCTTCCTTTTCTCTACAATGTTCCTTTGTCCGTTTTTACTTTTTATATTTTGGCCCCTACACAGAACAAGAGTGCCCGGGATTGGGTTCTGAATAAAAAGGGTTTTCGACTCTGGGGTTCAGCTGGTGGGCGCTGGCTGGGCCCAGCGGGGGCCCCTGCACTTGGGTCCTCCCAAGCAGCGGGTGCAGTGGGCAGCCCCTGGAGCATGCACCCAGCCTCCTGTGTGGCCCTGGGTCCAGCCCACTGGGTGGGGTGGGAGGTACAGCCTGCCGCCCCCGCCCCCAGCCCTGTCCTCACGGCTCTTGCATCTTCTCATGTCCCCCAACTTCCAGCCTTATGGTGCCTGGCACCCACCCACCTACCCTGGGCACGAGGAGCAGACACTTCCCGCTCTCAGGGAGCAGAGAGGGACACCCACGAACGCCCACTCTAGGGAGACAGCCTCTGAGCAATGGTGGCACCTCTGCACGGGAGGTGGCATTTTCCTGTGTTCCAGGTGTCCCCAGGCAGGGAGTGGGGCGTGAGGGTGCGAGATGAGGGGTGCCAGCACCACAGGCCAGGACCAGACCCCAGGGGTGCAATGCTCGGGGCCCCCTCTGGCCCCTGCACTCGCCCTACGGGGGCTTAAGCTGAGAAAGACAACTGGGTGCGGGGAGAGGTGGTGAGTCCTCAGGGACACACTGATAGGCAGTGGGGAACCTTCCCAGGAGCTTGGGGTGGGTGTCCCCCGGCCTGCTGTGGGGGCAGCGACTCCTGAGCCAATCCCTGCACAGTGGCAGGACCCCCCCCCCGCCAGGTAGAGGCCTAGTGGGGGAGCCGCAGAGCCCGCCTCCACGCACCAGAGAAGATGGGGTGTCCACTGGAGAGAACAGGGTGATGCCCCCCTGAGCGTGTGGCTCCCTGCTCTGGCCCGCAAGACCCTCTGGAAGGGAGTTGGGGCTCCCCCACCGGGGGGCTATGCCTGACACAGCAGTTGGCTCTCCAGGGTTGCCAGGCGGGGGGCTAGGACCTGCCCTGGGAGTGAGGAGGGAAAGGGAAGGGGGGCAGGAGGCAGCCAGGGAAGAGAGACCCCCCACCGCAGCCCGCTTTGCCTCAGCCTCCTGAGGTTCTCCTGGAGGCTCCCCTTGACCCCCGCCCCCCGCTGAGCCCCCTTGTTCCCTTAAATTCTGGGGCACTGTTAAGCTCACCCATGTCTCCCCACCCCCACCCCTACTAAGGAAGTCGGCTCTGGCTCTGGAGGAGGTTGGTTCCAGCCAGGCAGGGCCAGAGCGGCCACAGCCGGAGGAGCAAGGGTGGTCACTAGCCACCCTCCCTGCCCGCACCTGGCCATCGCTTTCTAAGAACTCCTTGCGGGGGAGCCTGGCTGGCGGGGTCGTAGTGCCAGTCAGCCCCAGCGTCCAGTTGGGTGGCAGTGCCTGTGTGCATCAAAGCCCAGAGGCTCCCAGCGGAAGCCCTCGCGGGCAGGCGGGCCTCCCGCGCCCCCAAGGCTGGGCCCCAGAACCCCACAAACCACTGCCATTTGCGAAGAGTGGAAGAAGCGGGTGGCGGCTGTGGCGGGTGGCGTGTGGCGTGTGGCGTGTGGCGGACTGTCTGGCCAGGCTAATGCGCCTCTGCTGGCCCAAGGCCGGCTCCTGGGTCTCCAGGGCTACAGCTGGGATGGAAGAGCCAGAGGATGAGGAGGGAGAGGTGGAAGGGGTGGGGGTGGAGGGAAGCCGGGGGCCAGCCTGGGGCACCGGTTGCAGGAGGCCTGAGTGGCAGCCAGGCAGGCTGACAGGGACCCCAAAGACAGTGCCCAGTAGAAGTGGGGGCTCAGGGTGCTTGGGGAGAGGGTGAGGTGGGGAAGCAAGGGCAGGGGGCACTTGGGGGGATGAGGTGCAGCAACTTTGTACACCCAAACCAAGTTAACACTATTGTAATCATGTTATCTAAACTAATAATAAAAGAAATACTAAGTGAGGATATACCCTACAGCTCTGGGGCGCCGCTGGGCAAGGCCATGGGCGTGAACAGGGCGGGGTGTGGGGGACAGAGGTGGGCATAGCCCAACGGGCAAAGCCTACCTCGCTTATCCTCTGCCCACCTGGCCAGGCCCTTCTCCCAATATGCCCCTTAACCCTGTGATCCCTGGCACCTAGTACAGTCCCCCTAGCATGCCAAGAGTGATCCCGGAGTGCAGAGCCAGGTGTGCCCCTCCCCTGCCCCAACAAAGCAACAGAAACCCACCAAGACGCGCCTTTCCCTGAGCAGCAGCGCCCTGGGTGCAGGGCCGCAGGTGGAAACACTTTTCCAGTCTCCCCCACTGGGATGACAGAGCTGAGGTGTGTCCTATGAGGAGGTGGGCTTTGAGAGTCTTAACTGTGGAGATGATTCTTTAGGGGAAAGGGGACAGCTCCTGCTGGGGGGGGCGGGGGGGGCTGAAAACCAAGTGTACCGTTTCATCAACGCTTCATCAGGGATGCCTGGTCCTGGACACTTCAAGCACTCAAGGGCCAGCCCTCCCCAGTTCTGGCGGTCTGGGGGCCTCTGGCCCCTCCCCCACACAGGCTACACCCTAAAGCCCACATGCCCTGGCCAGTCTCCAGAGTCTCTTCTTCCTCCTTGTCAGCTGATGTCTGAACTGCCGTATCTCCTCACCTTCCTGGAGAGACAAGGGGCCCAGGCCCCCTCCAGGCTCCCCACAACCCCCCGGGGACAGGCCCTCCCCGCCTCTCCTCTCTGTGGTTGTATCACGTACCAGCGGCTGCAACCGCAGTATTTGTCGGAAAACACCACAACCCTCCCTGAGCCCCCACCCACCCCAAGGAACCCCCAGATGGAGACAGACAGGCGGTGCCTGTGGGCAGCCTGGCCAGCAGCCTAACTCGGCCTGCGGATGTGGGTCAGGACAACAGCCAGAACCGCGGGGCGGAGAGCACGGGGGCGGGGGGGGGGGGGCATCCTGGGAGAGCCAACACCGCGGGCTCGAGTGCAGGGGAGGGGCAGGCGGGGGCTCGCTTATGGTGTGCCCTGACTCTGTAAAGTTGCTTCTTCGTTTTCTTCAGGGCAGGTCTTTCTAGTTGAAATTGAAATTAAAAGGAGCCCTGACTGGCTCATGAACGGGGCATCCAGTGCTCAGCACCACACACCATCCCTGCCACCTCCAGAGCTCACGCAGGGCTGGAAGGACCCTGCAGATGGACATCGCTGCTTCCTGCAAAGCTGGGGCACCAGACACGGCTCAGCTGTGCTCCCCAGAGCCCCCCCCCCCGCCCCCAGGAGTGGGGATTCTGTCCAGAGACACTGCTCATTCCCACTCTCCTGGGGCTCCCTGTGTCCACTGGCTCTCCCCCACCCAAGGGCTGCCTTCCATCAGCCCTCAGCATCCCATGGTTCACAGAGACCACCTCAGATCTTAGCCCTTGGGGTGAGGAGGCCCCAAGTCCCTTGTAGGGACAGACAGAGAAAAGGACAGTTGGGAATCCCTTGAGACAGGTGGGGAGAGAGAAGTTCAGTGCTCATAGGGGAAGCGGGGCCCTGAGCACTAGCCTGGGGCCGCCCATTTCATCTCCACAAGGACCCTGGCCCAGAGGCATGGCTGGAATCCCCAGGACTTCTTTCCAAGTGGGAAAAGGAGGCAAAGATCAGCCAGCTCTGTGAATTCCTCAGTTCCCGGAAGTGCTGGGAGCCAAAGCAGGCAATGTCTGGAGACAGGGGTGTGGCTGCCGCGGGGTCCTCCAAGGCCCCAGACCCAGCACAGACAGACAGCTTTCCCTGCTTTGAAGCACAGCAGGCAGGCTGGGCAAGCCCCAGTCCTCAGTCCTCCCCGCTGCCCTCCTGACTGGGGGAAAGGACAGCTGGGGACCAGCTGCCCCAGGAGAAGCAGAGTCCTCCTAGGTGTAAATCAGAATGCTCCTAGATGGACTCTGATATACCGTTAGATTGTTCTAGATGGGCTGGGGATGGGAGGGGGACATCAAGACACAGAAACAGTTAGTTCCTCTAGTCCAGGAGAGCCCGGCAAGCTACCGAGAGTATTCGATATGCCAGACACAGTAACAACAAAGTCTCCAATGGAGACGTTACTGGGCCCGCTTGAGCAAATCGATGATCAACGGGAGGGCCTTTACTTTACTTAGTCCAGGAAAATACTAACACAAGCCAGGTTAGAAAGGGGAACATGCAGCCAGAGAGGTTGGGCAGGGGTTAAGGCGCTTGCCTTGCATGCTGCTGACCTGAGTTTGATCCCCAGAACCCCATTTGGTCCCCCAAGCCCCTCCAGACTCTGCCCTTGAATGCAGAGCCAGGAGTAAGTCCTGTACACAGCTGGGTGTGGTCCAAAACACGAAGAAAGAAGAAAGGTAATACAAAAATGACCACGGAGATGACTTTTTTAATTTAATAGAATAGGGGTTGGAGTGACAGAACAGCAGGTAGGGCACTACCTTACACAGCCAGGAGTTGACTCCTGGTACCCAGTATGGTCCTCTGAGTCCCACCAGGTTGATCCCTGAGCACAGAGACAGGAATAAGTCCCGAGCATTGCCAGGTCTGGCCAAAATAAATAAATAAATAAACAAAAACAAATTTAATAGAATAGTCCCTAAGACTTAATGCTTATAAACAGAAACGTTTCAACATTAAGTAATAATTATCTTGGAAAAGTTTACTAATTACCACACTTGTCTTAATGGATTAAAAAAAAAACAACGGAGGTTTGCCACCATGTCGACTCACCCACCCTGCTCCACCAAATCCCAACTAAATCTCCCAGGAGAGGCAGCCGAGCAGCTAAACCTTACTGAATTGCCAACTCTGGCAGTTGAAGATGCTGAGTGACCATGGGGGGCTGGCCCAGACTGCCCACAGCACGGGCAGTCGCCTCCAACCCAGCACTACAGCTACGCGGGGCCCTCAGCACCACCACCTCATGGATATTCTCTGCAGAGACAGCGGTCTCTGAGTAATTTCAGGTGCCAGCGACTGGGCTGAGAACTCGGTTCCCCCACCCACTTCCGTAGTCGGCTGGGCCATCTCTCCCCTGCTCCACACTTCCCAAGCCCAGCAGCCCCGCCACCACCCACATCCTTGGCCCAGGCCACGCGCGGAGCTGGAAGGATCTGG